CAGAAGGACTGGGAATGGAAGGGCTTCAAAATATTATGGCATTATTCCGTATAATCAAGTGTCTGATGCGAAAACATCTTTGTCTCCTTACTTAACCTTTTACTAAAAGATATCTACCAGTCTGTGGGCTAAGCTGTGTCATGTGTGTTCACCCAGTGTTTCAAGTGTTATAGTAAGTGTTGAGTATGGTTACTGCAATACAGTAAATGCATCATATGCCTCCTAGATTATGGAATTCAGCTATTATAGGACGGACGTTATCTAGTCTGATGTTATCTTGCTCTTGTAATGTTTGCCTGAATATTTTAAAGCTGAAAAGAAGTGTATAAAGGAAAACCCAGATCCAGCATGTGCAGATGATTTTTTTGTGAACATATGTTAATCATTATCAGTGGAAATGGAGAAAGAACAAAAACTATATCACTTGCATTCTCTAATACATTTAATAAGTGAAGGAACTGTCTTCTTTATGGACTTGAAAATGCAAGACATTAAATTAAAGAGCCCTTCTATCACTACATACTGAATGTAAGGGATATGTAGTGACCGCATTTATAATTTTAAAAAAACTGAATAAAAAAAATGTTTAGAGTCCAATGTACAGTGAACCTGTTAGTGGTGTAATAGATGCTTGCAGGTAATCATACTTGTGTGTGGAAAAATAGAAAGTGTGTACTGTAGCACTTTTTTATTAAATAATTTAGGTGAACAAGTTATCATGAGTCATTTCATGGGAGGCTCTTCCTAAAAATATTGTACTGAAAATAAGACTCCTATAGCATGTGCTCATGAAAATTGTATAGACATGTGTATATGTTGCCTAAAAGTAATGTTTGTCTCTGAGCATGTTAGATAATCTGTCATAGTGTCACGTGCTGAATAACTATATATAATAATCAAGCATCTACTTGGCACGGAGGATGATATCTAGTATTATCTGAGTGGCTAAACAGATTGCAATATACAGTATCTGATACACTGAAAATACTATTGCACTGTTGGCGGTCACCTGTACACTTATATGGCATCAGCGACCCATGTCCAGTGTATGAAGAATTTTGGGAATAGAATCAGTTTTATGCTGTGAAGCACATATCTAACTTGTGATAGAGAATATTACTCACATTTGGATATATCATTTTGTCTCTAATATAAAACTGATTTTTTGTTGATAATTAGCAGTTAGAAGAATCAGCACTTTTTGTATGTATATTTTTTCAGACTAACATAATTCATGTGTGCACAAACAAACATAAATACAATATACATTTATATTCAATACATATAGTAACACATCATACAAAACAAATGAAGGAACATTTTTTTCTTTAAATTCAGTCTGTTTCTTGAGAAAACTATTCTCAATAGATAATGGAATTTTGTCCATATACATATTCCCAATTATGAGAAAAATGAAAGAAATGAAATTCACATCATTTTTATGTGAGTAACTGTGAGGCTACTAGTCGAGTGTGGGTTCTAACAATGAATTATACATATCCCCTATTACTCCTTATATTCCTAAATGTCATATCTTGGTAACGTTGTGCTAATGAACTAGTGTATATAATATAATCTTAAATTGTGATTTAACAAAAAAAAGAGGTCAGTGATTTTTTTTTGTCCAGGGCAGATTTAGCATTGTTTTTGTATACTTACTTGGGTATAGCAAAGGAGGTTAACTATATTCATATACGCAACCCAAGTTTGGAAAATAAATCTTATGGTTAATGAGTTTTGCAGATCCTGCAAGATTTTCAAATATCTACTCCCAACTTATGCTAACTAATGCATTAATATCCCAGCATCTCGGCTAACCACATTATACCCTGCAGAGATTATGCTTTGCAGGAATTAAAAATAATAATAATAATAAAACAGATTATGTAAATACATGTCCCCTCAGCTATCTAATTTCATATTCCAACTTCATAAATCTTAAGCCCCGACATGCTATCCTATGGAGCGTTATTCTGGCTTGCACTTACACAGCCAAATGCTCTTTGACCTTTGTTCCAGTATAAAGGAACGGAATGGAGTGCGGAAAAGGGTGGCTTCTCACATTCGCAGATTTGTGAATGGGATGCAGTCCAACGTAAGTCTCCTTGTTATTTTTTCCGATTTGATTTTGCTGTTCGTTTTGTGAAAGTGTTTCTCTTTTAGTGTTAATTTTCTCCTTTTTTTGTCCTTTTTTGTATGTACTTTATATATTGGGATTTGGAGTTAAGAAGTTGATTGTTTTATTTTTCGTTTCTGATGGCAAGAGCTTGTCATAACTTACCTACTAGATCATGCTGCTTCTTATGATTTCTCGGTGAAATTCAAGAAAAGGTAAGAAATTATTTGCTTTGGAAGTAATTTACGGTGCCATTGTCATTAACTGATGACATATTAATAGAGTATGGTTTTATTTGTAAATAATAGCAATTTCATTTGTAAATAATGTATATTATGTACATTTTTACATATTTGTAAATGAGAATAAAAGATACCAAAGATTGTGCTGTATATGACTGTTTTAATTTATCCTCAAGTGTTATTAGATACACGTCATTTTACTTTTAAAACTCAAAGGGACATAAATGACTGCGATATAAAGCCAGCTACATTGACCCTTTATAGATGTAGATTTAATTGTTACTAAACTAAAATAAACACATTAAACACTTATCGATCTCTCTCTTGTTTGCAAAGGTTTAACTGGATGTATCTGTGTGTACCTACATGTAATTCTGAACATACTCAACAAAATATGAATAGCTAATCATCAATGCACATTAAATCACATTAATGATAGGTAATACAACCCAGTGGAGATATAATTTACTATTATGGGCATTGAAGAAAGAACTGTAGAATATTCAGAAAGAAAAACGTACAACCAGTATTTGCCATGGTTAGAAAAGACGAATTACTGTATATATGTGAAGAGGATCATGCTAAAAAATATGAACAAAGTTTTCACATCAAAACTACAAGGAACATTTTTATTATATATATATATGGTTCTTTCTAATACACAAGACTTCCTGAACCTTTTAAATATAACACGAATCTCGTTAGAAATAGATTCTTGTGCTTTTCTGTTCCCAAATAGCTAAAAAAAATAATTGATTATCCGCCCATGAATGGTGTGCATAAGCTGATTAGAATTAAAAGTTAACCAAATGGAGATTGTGCTGATTAATGCATCGTCTCAATATCAAAGGTACAATACACAAAGTACGGTCACAGAAAGATGAGACTACACTTTCGAAATCCTAAATCTTATCAATGGGTCAGTCTGGGTAGAGGAGAGGAAGATCTATTTGAGGGGCGGCAGGAGAGGACAGGTAAACGGAAACGAGGTCAGTCGAAAGACCTGGCCGTCTCAAGCAAGGGTGGCCGGCATAAGGGAGCAGTCTGGGGATGTAGGAAGCGAGGAGACTGTTGGCAGGAGGAAAAAAATATTATGGTTGAAATTAGGCATTTTTTTACCAGGGGGATTTCACCAGTCTGCGGGTGTGAACATCATTGAAATAAAAGCTGCTGACCAATAGATCTGATGGTCTGAGTCACGCTTGATGAGACGAACACCGGTTTTAGCAATGGAGATAGCAGATTCCTCAGTGTAGAAATGAAAACCGGCAGGTGAGGAGTTTCTTTAGGAGGAGAGGCGATAGAAGGTAAACCACACCCAGGATAACACGGTGTCGAGGACATGGCGAGGGTAGCCCAGCTCGTTGAAAAATGACGCAAGGAATCAATTATTCCATCCAGATGCTGTGGATCACAGATGCGAAGGTCACAAAGGAACAGAGAGGTAACGACTATGAACCATGGTGTTCAACAAGGAGAACTTATTGTCGTCGACCTCCCATTCCACTTTGAAATGGATGGAGGGAGAGTTCTACTCCCCCAGGAAACCTGGGAAAAGGCCAGGATCATGAGCCCAGAGGATAAATACATCGTCGACGTATCTAACTCCCCCCCTCCAACACACACACATATATGAATACCTATATACATACATACAATCACACACGTGCACACACATACATACACACACACATGCACACATATACATACATACACACACACATATGCACACACATACATACACACATGCACACACATACATACACACACACACACACACACACACACACACACACACATATATATATATATATATATATATATATATATATATATATATATATATATATATATATTATATATATATATGGGGGGGGGGCTGTATTTTGTATCCACAGTAGGGCATTAAATAATATTGTTAATAATATTGATTTCCACACTGAACATTTAACAATAACACGTGTGAGAGAAGGTAAGGAAACATGTGTCGAGTGACGTCAGCACCAAGGTCAGCACGACTCGATAGCTACAGTGGTAGAAAATCCCACTATACATTCTGACTTTCTGATGAAATGACTTCCTAGATATGTCTGCTAACCCACGGCTGAAGTCGCTCAAGATTCTGCCCAGTCTATATCCACCACCAATAGCCGCTCTCTCTCCCAGAAGCTCACCTCTCGTAGTCCTCGTTGAGAGAAAGAGAGAGAGAGAGGAGGGAAAGTGAGAGAGAGAGAGAGAGGGGGAGAGGGAGAGGGAGAGGGAGAGGGAGAGGGAGAGGGAGAGGGAAAGGGAGAGGGAGAGAGAGGGAGAGGGAAAGAGAAAGAGAAAGAGAGAGAGAGAGGGGGGGAGAGGGAGAGAGAGAGAGGGGAGGAGAGGGGGAGCGAGGGAGAGAGAGAGAGAGAGAGAGAGAGAGAGAGAGAGAGAGAGAGAGAGAGAGAGAGAGAGAGAGAGAGAGAGAGAGAGAGAGAGAGAGAGAGAGGTAGGGAGAGGGAGAGAGAGAGAGAGAGAGAGAGAGAGAGAGAGAGAGAGAGAGAGAGAGAGAGAGAGAGAAGAGAGAGAGAGAGAGAAAGAGAGAGGGGGGGAAGTTAATGATGATAGTACCGGTAGTTTTAACAATATTAGTCATGATGATAATTTTTAACACTGATCATAATGATAATTATTAAAACTGATCGTAATGATAATACAGTCATGATAATAATAATAATTGCAATAACAATAATAATGATAATGATAATAATAATGATAGTAATGATACTGATAATAGTAATAATAATATCAATACTACCACCAATAATGATGATAATAATAATAATAACAATAACAATAATAATGATAATAATGATAATAACAGCAATAATAGTAGTAATAATAATAATGATAATAATGTTAATAAATTATTCAAGATTTTCAGAATATCATATCTGTCTATTCTGTATTAACCTATGCAGTTATACTACATATACATAAATGCAGAAGTATACCCAAAGTGTTTGATGATGATAATGAGGGAACAAGTATAATGACCTGCCTAGTTGCTATGAATAGATGTTAACAAATGTGCTTTATATAAAAAAAACGACTAGGAGAGTATTGTCAAAAAGTAACGCCAAATATGAGATTCTTCGTCACATTCGTACCACACATCTGTTCAGTTCACAGGTGTACTGGTTGTCAATAAACATGAGGTCAAATGTGGGCCACCCTTTGCATACATAATCGTGAGCAGATTGTAAATGTGAGAAGGGAAAGAGGAAAATTATATGAAACTCGGAAAGTAGGGGGGGGGGAGGAAGTTAGAGAGGTGGGGGAATGAGAGAGAGAGAGAGAGAGAGAGAGAGAGAGAGAGAGAGAGAGAGAGAGAGAGAGAGAGAGAGAGAGAGAGAGAGAGAGAGAGAGAGAGAGAGAGAGAGAGGCAGACAGACACAGAAACATAGAGAAAGATTAAGGGCGAGTTATATATAATGTAAGCCACTCCACTACCATAATACCTAGGTCTCACTCTACCCTTTCCAGAAACCATCCGTTGCACAGTTCTTGAAATAATCCCGAACCAAGAACAATGACCCATAACGTACTAGACACTGTAGAAAAGTTATGAATATTTATTCTCATTTATACCTCTTCTACATTTGTCGACATGAATCCGGTTTGTACTAGACACACCAATAATTCCCTTTCCTTGCTCCTCGGGTCCCCGCACAGCCTCACTATGTCTGCCAATGCTGTATGTATTTTAAAAACACTGATCCGAAGAAAAAACTGGATCGAGCTTCTATTGTTTCACTTTTGATTCCAATGTGAATAGCGGCGGCCGTCTTGGTGAGATGTCTGCATAAGGGCTCTACGTGTGGCATGGAAAGAAGGAAAATTTCATCGCTGATGTTTAGTATATCGAACATTTTACTAATAATTTCACGGACGAAGCTCATAACGTGATTTTTATGCATTCTAGCTTAGAAACAAGAAATAAATTCAGAGAGAAGTTTAAGTCGAGCGAACACTCGTTATTAAAATATTCAAAATTCATAGGAAAAATTCGTTTTTGAAGATGTGGCTTATTTGAATAATGCAATGCAATTAGGCTCGCTAATCTGCTCAAAACAGTAATATTACACTGCAAATGGAATAGCGATGAAATGGTAAAAAAGTAAACTGGTTTATATAACTATTTAGTTGGTTTTTGCTTCTCAACACCCATATGCCTACTATTGGCAAGTATAAAATGCCAGAAAAGGTTAGATCCCCTTCCCTAGGATACTAAATGTCCTCGGGAATTGCCACTTAAGGAGTGCTTCTTCATCTCCACTGCCGTCGCTGTCACTCCAGATGTTTTCCCCTTCTTCTCTTCTTTGTTTAGCGTTTATTGCACTGCGTCACGTGTTTCCCAACGTTTTGATCTATGCACGTTGATCTCAAAGAGCGGAATAAGGTAAGGAAAGATGGCGCGGGTCAAAAAGGGAGGCTTCAAAATGCGTGCGAACAATAGGTTGCTCGATCCAGTTTTTTTTTTCTTTTTTTTAGAATACACATCCTTCAAGCTCACTTCTAGCTATACAGTATACACATACCTCCCTCCTTCCCTCTCACTCGCTCGTTCTCTCTCTCTCTCTCTCTCTCTTTCTCTCTCTCTCTCTCTCTCTCTCTCTCTCTCTCTCTCTCTCTCTCTCTCTCTCTCTCTCTATATATATATATATATATATATATATATATATATATATATATGTATGTATATAAAGTGCCTGAGCGAAAGAATGTGAGAAGCAAGCTGTTGCCCATGCTACAGGCTCCCTTTCTCCACGCAGCTGATAGATTCAAAGGAACGGCAGAGACCGATACGGTTTGGCACCAGCGGCGTTGTAGTGAACCACAAGAAAACGCGATCATCAAGGGGGATCCCAAGCAATTCGTGGCAGGGCTGGATGCCCCCCCCCCCCCCCGTGGACGTTGCAATGATTTATTTTATTCTTTTAATAACACGAATGTATATACTTTGTTTTTTTATACCTCGTTAGTAGTGCCCCAAGTTGTACACGGAGAGATATTTTGATCTTATTATATTAAAAGCCTCCAGAACTTCCATCACCTAACTGCTTGTTCCCGCCTCTGAGACGACGACAGAGGTATGGGAGATAAACCAGG